ATTAGAAATAAAATTAAAATAAAACCCCAGCCCATCTAGGTCCGTGGGTGGCCTGGCTTGGCTCGGTCTAAAACCGGGCCCGATGAGTAGGCCTGGGCCAAGTTCTTTGAAATCTCAACCCGACTCAAAAAATAAAAAAGCCCATAAAGGCCCGACCCGAGCCAGCCCAATAACGAACCCTACCTACATGACAATTTGAAGGTTAAAATTTGATATTTTACTATATCTTGTACCCTCATCAGCCTATTCAATTTAATTCATTCAATGTTGAATTTTCATTTTCTTTTAAATCAAACATTAATATATAATTCAGTTTAATAATATAAAATTAATATGGGGTTAATTACAATTTAGTATCCTATAGTTATACCTTTAAGACATGTTAGTTCCTATCTTCTCAATTTTTATAATTAGATACCCGATCTTTTCAATTTGTTATAATGTGGTTCCGCCGTTAAGGTTTTCTTCAAATCTCTCCGTTAGTTGCCCACGTGAGACTATGGATCCCACATTTGTCATTTTTTTGTTAATTTTAAATTAACTAAAATATTATTTTTTCGAAAAGAAATTGCAGAAAATGAGAAGTAAAAAAATCCTCCCCAACCTCCTGCGATTTTCTTCTCCCCCTCATTCCCCCATGACCACCACCCGCAGCCATCCTCCAACCCCTCCCCCATCCCAAAACGAACCCAGAACCCAGCCCGCAACCACCCATACCCCCTCTACCTCCCCTCCGATTTCTTCTCCCCTTGCCTTGACCCCAAACTCCAGCCCCCACCTACCAACCACAGCTTGCCGACCACTCTCTCTTCATCCTCCAGAGCTCGTTCCCGCTGTAGCCCGATGCTATTCGTGAGATCTGACGGTCTGCATCTCTCTCTCCTCTCTGCTCTCTACCCATCTCTCTCTCTCTCTCTCTCTCTCTCTCTCAGTGCAAATTTAAAAAAAAGGTTTTTTAGGTTTTAGACATAAAAAAATTTTCACTTTTGGAAAAAGCCAAAGCTTTTTCAAAAAAGACAAAAAAAACCGCTCAACTTTCAAATCAAAGACATGCAAATGTATTGGATTCCTTAGGAAATCTAAAAATAAATAAGGGCATTTTTGTCCATTTTTGCTTCTTTTAAAATTTTTCTCTCCTTTTGCTTTTTCCAAAATGTCCCATTAAAAAACCAACATTGGAAAGAAAAAAAAAATCGTTGAATTTTGAATTTGGGTGTTTTGATTATTTAATTTTTTTTTCTCAATACATAACTGTATAATTAGCGTTATAATTTGGTGTCACATAGTTGTGGTGAATGTGGTTATGAGAATTTTGGGTTGGCTTGTGTCTTCTCCCCTGTGTGGTAGATCATGAACTGATGGAAAGAAAACAAAAGGCAAAAAGTTTTCTTTTCTCAAAGTCTGAAACTTTTGCGGTTTTGGTAAATTTCCCAGTTTTGCGAAAAAATTCGTTGGTTTTTGGTGGGTGGGGATTGGAGTTAGGGGTCAGGGCAGGGGCAGAAGAAATTTAGGGGGAGGGGGAGGGGGTTTGGGTGGTTGCGGGCTGGGATTTTGGGTTCATTTATTTGTAGGCAGGATTATCTGTCGAACCTCGTAAATATTGGTGTGTTTTCTCATGTATTTACTTATTGTCATCTTGAGCTTGTTGGTTTGTTTATTTGTATTTCTTCCATCAGGTTATGCTGTGATGAGAAGGAAACCGGTGTTTCCCCAACACTAATAACTTCGTTCCGATTTCGAGCGGTTTTTATGTCATGTGAAGAACTCACGCTAATAATGCACAAACAGAAACAGAGGAAAGGGTTTACCAATCCAACATCAATTAATGACCTTTGTTTTGGAAAAAGAATAACTCAGCATAACCACTTATTATCTATCAGTAGATTGGTAATTTGAATTACTGACTAAGGTCCCGTTTGGGATTGTTTTTTTTTCCCTCCAAAAATCTGCTTCACTTTAAAGTTAAGCAATTTAAGGTGTTTGGTAAAAATAAAATATCCCGATTATTTTAAAAGCAGTGGCCTTTTGACAGTAACTTTTAAAATCAAGCTCTAGGTTGCTTTTCAAAGCTGCTTTCAACAAAAGCAGAAATGAACATTTAATGAATTTTTTTAATTCCCAAAATACAATAATTCATTTTATAAAATGACACCACCTCCACTTCCACATCTAACTCCACCACTTGCACCACCACATTCACTACCTACACAACAACCGCCACCGCCATCGCCACCACCACCACCACCACCACCACATCCTCCTCCTCATCCTTCGCCACCCCCACCACAATTACCACCACCTCCACCACCACCTCCTCCACCTCCATAACCACCAACTCCACCTTCATCACCACCACCACCTCCACTCCATCACCACCACTATCACCACATGATTAGTACATAATACTTTCAACATCATGTCTATTTTAGTCATTATTCACAATTACAACAATTTTATATTAAAATTTATCAAACGTTTTTTACACTACTTTTTATACTAACAGCACTTTAAAAATATTATTTACCAAACATGGAGTTATTTTACTTTACAACTAATTATTTTCAAAGCACAGCAGAAGAAACTTTTTTTAAAAGTGACAGCAATCCCAAACTGAACCTAAAGAGGGTAGTATGCCAACCACCTACTAATCATAGCAAAACATTCTTCAGGTTTGTACTCTGGAGCTGTGTGACCCGCTCCCTGAAATATCAATTTAGTCAGCTTTTGCTCAAGAAAATTCTAGTACGGAAAATATTTAATTTCATAATGGTTCTTAAGCTTCTTGCCTTTATAGTTGCATATGTCAACTGGTACTTTTTGTATGTGTACTGCACTCTGTATCTAAAGACCAAAAAACAGAAAAAAAGAAGAAAAAAAGAATGACTATGAGATAATTGTAATATGATTTTCTGACTAAACTCGATACAGAGTAAGGAAGAAGATGAGATAGATACAAACCCCGCAACCTGTCCGTCGACAAACCAAGGCTTCCAACGACTGTCAACCGTCAAGTTCAGAGATTCTATCCAACCCATAGTACCCACATATGGAACATTCATGTCATAATCACCACTGTTAATAGACAAGCTTTGTGTTCAGAAGAAATGGTAATGTGAGAATGAATAGATTGTGTGAGATTCTATTCACAGAGGGCGCTAAGCCTATGTTTGAATTCATGTACTTGACTTTTCCCTCCAATTAGAAATCCAAATGGACTTTCTGCTTGGACTAAAACAAAAGAAAATTGGAAAGAGTTATCCGCATGCATATTCTACAATATATCAATATATATAGTACCTGTAAACCAAAACTCTATAGCCTTGTTTAATGAGGTTCTCATGATAGACAAGACTAGAGGAAGCATCAGATATATAGAATTCTTGTAAGGTCTTATTGCATCTTTCCCATTCCTTAATGCTTCCCTGATTTTTAAAAAAAAAAAAAAAAAAAAAAAAAAAGATGAGCAAAATTAAAGTACTGTGATATGTCATGAAAACCTGAAGAATATCTTTGGAAGGAACTAATTAATTACCTCCTGAATATGAAGAGCTTCTTGGACAGTTTTGTCATTTGCCCAAATATAAGAGAGGAGATATGTGTAACTCTGCATTAACACAAGGCAGATATGTGGACTCAAAGTTAACATTGAGTACAACAAACGCATATGAGTAAGCTACAACCTACAGATAAGTTACTGCTATACAGTATGCAATATGTGTTTGTGCTGGCGTGTGCAGAGAGACTTACCCGACACCATGGCCTACGAAGTTGAGGAAAAGAAAAGAGGAGATTTACAGAGTCCTTATTAGTGCGATCATCTGCATACCCCTTTGACTGCGCTGGTTTTGGCGAATGGACAGTACATACAGGTTCCAATATCTGTACATCATTTATGTCTTCAATACACTGCCAATCAAAATACGAAGTCAGTATTTTGATAGTACATTACTTAATTGTGACAAGTAGTTGTAGAAACCAAAGAATTTGTTTTCTTTCCACTCACCTCGTTGTAAAGTTCAAGATCAGCCACACATAACGTGTTGTTTAGATCCACATTGATATAATCTCCCTTGCAGTTTATTTTCATTGACTTGCAAAATATACAAATCACAACCACATTTAAGAAAGACAATCTTTTAGCAAGAAATAAAGTGACTATGCAAGATCACCATATAACTTGAGGTAAAGATTTAGTCAGAATAGTTCAGAATGATTTGAAGAGCCAGAATCTAATCTCAACATGAAACCGACAAGAAGCGACAAAATCAGTGTGTATTTCACCTGGTATAGTTCCTCTGATATAAGTGCTTTCAGGTAAGCAAATAGAACTCTAGAATTGTCATCCTTTTCAGAATCTGTCAGTGGATTGCCAAGCACATATCCCTGCAGCCAATATATATGGAACACTATTGTCTGCCTACTTTTAAGGCCCACAGGCATATGATCTTCAATTAATTAACCATCAAAATAGAAATCATTCAAATTGTAATGGCAGAAAATGTACTTTGAGATTCATCGGTGGCGCATGTTCATCTTGATTACCTACATCAAAGTAAATAAACAAAATAAAAAGAACCTCAAATCAATACCTCATGATCCACACAACTAAGAAACTAACTATTTGCATGTGAGGCTGAATTAAAGGTTGCACGATTGACCCTTCTCTCAATTCCTGGTAGCTGAAGCTGAGAAAAGGTCAAATTTAAGAGGGTTACTTACTTACCATCTGATATTTCCTGAACGAGCATCGGAACAATTATGCCTGAATAAGAATCTCCGGCAATGTAAATTGGATTATTGTAGAACTTGGGATGATCCATAAGCCACTGCACCACAACAGTGAAAACAAAGATGTAGCTAAACTGGATGCAGGAAAATAATGTTCATTTCCAACAACCAATCATGTCAATTTTTGAAAAAAACCATTCTTAATCACTTGAAAGATGATCATATGAACTAGACCTTATGCCGAAACCTCATAGGCAAGTGCATCCTCTCACCTTTCTAAGAAATTGATATGTTTGTGCGGCTGATATTGTGTCATTGAGATTGGTATATCCTTCCCAGTTTTTTGTATATGAGAATCCTGTGCCCACAGGTGCGTCTAAAAATATTATGTTGGCAACCTGAAAGTTTTCAATCGTTCTTGTCAATGTCATAAGAACCTCAACAACTTGAAGGTTTCCACTTAAACACATACACCTATAAGGCAATTGAAGCCTCCCACCTTTGTCCATGAATATGGATTCAACTTTAATTTTGGCTTGTTGCCAATGGAATGTGCAGAGTCAAAGGATAATGGACCTACAACAAAGTACGGATTAAATAGTGAGGCTAATTCTAATAATTAAAAGTTGGAACACAATATTTGTGCCAGATTACAACTAACACGGATTAAAAACTATAGAATTATAAAATAAAAAAATATTTGGGTTGAAATACACACAATATACTTAAAAACAAACTTTTCATCAATAATATTTGGGTTGATTTTAAATTGGGATGTACTGCTTCTGATGGGGACCTTCCTCTGTTTTGACGCTCTTGGGCCTGGCTAGTTACTCTGTAGTTTCTGCTTTGAACCCAGATTACCCAATAAAGAAGAAGAAAAAAAAACAGAGAAAACAGAGCACACACTTTTTATCTTTGTCCACACTCCAAGTCTCACCTTTAATTTCTTTTCATTTTTCATTTATGTTGGGATTTTCTGGTGGTCTGTCACCAAAGTCATAAAAATTCAAAATAGAATAATATCCTCTGAAAGATGCAGAGAGTGGAAAATATAATTCGGTACCTAAATTTTCATATACAATGGCAGAGAAGGCAGAACAACCAGGACCTCCAGTGAGCCAAAGCACAAGAGGATCATACTCTGGACTCCCTTCAGACTCAAAGAAGTAATAAAACAGCTGCACATCATCCATGCTGCCCACTCCCACGTACCTTTATATAATTAAACCCTTAAAATATATTATTCATGGTCATCTTTTGTATTAATGTAAAGTACTTAACAGAATAATAGTTATAAACTAACCCAGTTTCAAGCTTAAAGGGGAGGTCACCGCGAAAGCCGGGAAGGGTTTTGATGATATTGGATGATGATGATGCAACATTCATGTTCAAAAGAGTCACCAGAAGAAGTGCTTCTGGCAACATGGTGGTGATGATGTACTTGCTGCTACGCTTATCTCATGACATACATATATATGGAGGATGGCTCCTGTGAAGTTAGGGAACGTGCTATAATATAATGAACTTGGTTTTTTTCTTGTGCTGTGAAGTGACTGGACAGTCTGAATATTAGGTGAATCCTCGTGATCATCAGCCAATAAAATTTGAATATATTTTGATATTTTGGGAATTGTATTTCTCTTGCGGCTTCTGTCCCTTTCAAATTCTTCAACTTGTGTATTTAAGATTTGTTTAAAATGAGAGACAAAGAAAGTGTGATTTTCAACTTGTGTATTTAAGTTAAAATATGGACTGATAATTGACGCACCTGGGTTCTTAGATATTCTAAATTTCAACAGCAAAGAAAAAAAAACACAGAAGAAGAAGTTGTGATTTTGGTTCAGCAGAGGACTTAATCAGAACGAGGTATGGTGCTTGCTCTCAGCTCAACCAGTATGACGTGGTTGATTTCGAAGAAAAAGGAAATGCAGGCAAAGAAGATAATAAGGGAAAAGAAACAGGGGATCGCAAGTTTCAAGATTCCTTACACCAACGTTCCGTGGAGGCAGAAAATCCAAGTTTTTGTCGGACCACAAATATTTTTATTATTATTTATTATTATTATTTTATTTTTTTGTGGCATCCGCATTGCTTGCATGTCACAAAATTGAACCACTTGTCAGAGACCCATTAGTCAACCTACTTACTCTTCTCTGCTCCTCTCTTTGATTCATGTTCAAAGACTTCACAAAGGATCATCCAGATGAAGATTTTTTGCATGATTTTTGGTTTGTTTACTACATAGCACATTAACAATGAATATATATTAAATAATGGTGTGTTTATAGTACATAAAACTGATATTTGATTTATGATTTCATGTCATTCTTTGAAGAATTGACTCAAACAGACACAGAGGAAAGGCTTTACCAATCCAGCATCAACTAATGAACTTTGCTGTGAAGTGAACCAATTGACTTATTAATTTTGGGATACACCAACATAAGTTTTGACTACAGAGGGTAGTATGCGAACCACCGACTAATCATAGCATGACATTCTTCAGGTTTGTACTCGGGAGCTGTGTGACCCGCTCCCTGAAAAATCAAAAAATTTAGTCAGCTTTTGCTGAAGCAAATTCTAGTATGGAAAATATTTAAGTTCATTCTTAAGCTTCTTGCCTTTATAGTAGCATATGTCAACTGGTACTTTTTGTACGTGTACTGCACTCTGTATCTAAAGGCCAAAATAAAAAATAGAAAACAGACATAACTATAAGATAATTATTGTAATCTGATTTTCTGACTAAACTCAATACAAAGTAAGAAAGAAGATGAGATAGATACAAACCCTGCAACCTGTCCGTCGACAAACCAAGGCTTCCAAGGACTGTCAACAGTCAAGTTCAGAGACTCTATCCAAGCCATAGTAGCCACATATGGAATATCCATGTCATGATCACCACTGTGAATATACAAGCTTTGTGTTCAGAAGAAATGGTAATGTGAGAATGAATAGATTGTGTGAGATTCTATTAACAGAAAGCTAAGCCAATGTTTGAATTCATGTACTTGAATTTTCCCTCTAATTAGAACTCCAAATGGACTTTCCGCTTTGACTAAAACAAAAGAAAATTGGAAAGAGTTATCAGCATGCATATTCTACAATATATATAGTACCTGTAAACCAAAACTCTATAGCCTTGTTTTATGATGTTCTCATGATAGACAAGACTAGAGGAAACATCAGATATATATAATTCTTGTAAGGTCTTATTGCATCTCTCCCATTCCGTAATGCTTCCCTGATTGTCATTTAAGATGAGCAAAATTAAAGTACAGTGATATATCATGAAAACTGGAAGAATATATTTAGAATGAACTAATTAATTACCTCCTGAATATGAAGAGCATCTTGGACAGTTTTGTCATTTTCCCAAATGGAAGAGTAGAGATAATTGTAACTCTGCATTAAAACAAGGAAGATAAGCTGACTCAAGTTTACATTTAGTATAACAAACAAAAATGAGTAAGCCACAACCTACAGATAAGTGACTGTAGTGTGCATTGTGTATGTGTGCAAGTGTGCACGCAGCAGAGAGACTTACCCGACACCATGGCCTATGAAGTTGAAGAAAAGAAAGGAGGAGATTTACAGAGTCCTTATTGCTGAAATAGTTTCCGTTCCACTTTGATCGTGCTGATTTTGGCGACTCTATTATAGTACATGAAGGTTCCAATATATGTGCACTGTGTATGCCTTCGATACACTGCCAATCCAATTGTGAAGTCAGTATTTTTATCCTACATTACTTAAAAGTGACAAGTAGTTGCAGAAACCAAAGATTTTGTTTTATTTCCACTCACCTCCTTGTAAAGTTCAAGATCCTCCACACATAACGTGTTGTTTAGATCCACATTGATATACTCTCCCTTGCAGTTTTTTTTCATTGACTTAAAAAATATAAAAATAACAACAACAGATTTAAGAAAGACAGTCTTTTAGCAAGAAATGAAGTGAGTATGCAAGAGCACATAAAAAAACAAAAAAAAAAAAAAGCGTATTTCACCTGGTATAGTTCATCTGATATAAGTGCTTTTAGGTAAGCAAATAACACTTTGTAATTATAATCTTTTTTTTTATCTGTCACTGGATTGCCGAGCACATATCCCTGCAGCCAATATACTTTTAACTTTTAAGGCCCACATTCATATGATGAGGAATTTATGAACTACAACACAATAGAAATCATTCAAATTATAATCGCAGGAAATGTACTTTGAGATTCATTGGGGGCACATGTTCATCATGATTACCTACACAAGTAGAAAAATAAATTAAAATCAATACCTCATGAAACTGTTTTTGCCTTCTTTGTCCATCTGATATATATTGAGCATGAAGAGGTAATGAATGAAATGTTCAATATTATTTTCATGTGAGACTGAATCAAAGGTTTCAGGATTTGACACTTTTCTCAATTCTTGGTAGCTGGAACTGACAAAAGGTAAAACTTAAGAGTTACCAACTTACCATCTGATATTTCCTGAACAACCATCGGAACAATTATTCCTGAATAAGAATCTCCAGCAATATAAAGTGGATTATTGTAGAACTTGGGATGATCCATAAGCCACTGCACCCACAATAGTGAAAACAAAGATGTAGCTAAACTAGATGCAATAACATAATGTTCATTTCCAACAACAAATCATGTCAATTTTTGATAAAAAAAGCCGTTCTTAATCACTTGAAAGATGATCACATGAACTAGACCTTATGCAGAAACCTCATAGGCAAGCGCATCATCTCACCTTTCTAAGAAATTCATATGTTTGTGCAGCTGACAATGTGTCATTGAGATTGCTATATCCTTCCCAATTTTTTGCATAGGAGAACCCTGTGCCCACTGGTGCGTCTAAAAATATTATGTTGGCAACCTGAAAGTTTGGGATATTGTTCTTCTCAATGTCATACGAACCTGAATAGTTGCTAAAGATCACATACAAAGACATAAAACGCGAAAACCTACCTTTGTCCATGAATATGGATTCAATTTTAATTTTGGTTTGTTGCCAATGGAATGTGAATAGTCAAAGGATAGTGGACCTACAACAAAGTATGTGTTAAATAGTTGGAACTTTAATGTGCAGAGTTACAATTATATTCTGTGTATTAGTAAAAAATACACAGAATATACTTAGAAAAGCTAAACACTAATCAACTTTGTATGGCTTTCGATGGGTTTTGAGGCTTTTGGGCTAGGTCAGTTGCTCTGTAGGTTTACTTGTGTGCTTTGGCGCCCAGCCTAACCCAAAAAAGAACCAAAAAAAAAAACTGAGAAACAGAGCCTTCCCTCTCTTTTAAAAACATTTTCTGATTATAAAATTTCATAAAATTTCAAAATATAATAATATCATCTGAAAAATGCAGAGTCTGAAAAATATAATAAGGTACGTACCTAAATTTTCATATACAAGGGCAGAGAAGGCAGAACAACCAGGACCTCCAGTGAGCCAAAGCACAAGAGGATCATACTCTGGACTCCCTTCAGACTCAAAGAAGTAATAAAACAGCTGCACATCATCCATGCTGCCCACTCCCACGTACCTTTATATAATTAAACCCTTAAAATATATTATTCATGGTCATCTTTTGTATTAATGTAAAGTACTTAACAGAATAATAGTTATAAACTAACCCAGTTTCAAGCTTAAAGGGGAGGTCACCGCGAAAGCCGGGTAGGGTTTTGATGATATTGGACGTTGATGCAACATTAATGCTCAGAAGGGTCAACAGAAGAAGTGCTTGTGGCAACATGGTGATGATGATATACTTGCTGCTAGGCATATTTCATCACATATATAGAGAGGATGGCTTTATGGCTCTACTGTGAATTTAGGAAGCGTGCTATAATTGAATATGTCTTTTTACTTCAGCCATGACGTAACTAGATGGTCTGGACATAAGGTGAATCCTCGAAGGAGACCCTCTTCATTCAATTATCCCTTTTTTATTGAGTAATGCCATCTCACATGGCAGCTAAGGTAGACATCCAATTCATTAAAATTATAATAGTTTTTTTATTGACATATCAATTTCTTATTATTTTCATTAATTAAAAAAACCTAACCCTACTGGATTAGAGACTCTTCAGATTTTACGTTGTCTGTCGACCTCCCCCAATCCCATCTCTCCCTACGTCCTCTCCTCCCCATCAGCGGCACTCTGCCGGACCTATGCAGCCGATCCATCGCCTCTTCACTGCAGCAAGACTCCCTCCTCCTTGGCTTTTTGGTCAGTACACACGTAATAACAACTGCAAATCTGCTTGATCAAGACCCATATATGTAATTTTAATGAATTGGATGTCCACCTCAACTACCACGTGAGATGGTATTAAAAATGTGGTATAATTATGTGGTAAACATAGCATTACCTTTTTTTATTTGTTTAGCCTAGTAATAATATGAATATGTTTTCCT